AGAAAGGATTGACGATTCGGACTTCCTACCTTCGTGATAGGGCAGACCTATGGGAGCGTGGATCGTTTGAGTAGAGCAGTGGACCACACACTTTACGCGCTCTGGGAGGGCTTACCGCCCCGCTTCAAGGAAGTATACTACGCCATTTGTGTGAGGTGGGGGCCGCCCAGTAGAGAGACGCTTGACGACATCATAGATGTTACTAGCTGGGTGAACTGTCTGAGGCCTATCGACCTGGCTAGGTACTGCAGGCGACGGGCAGAGATCGATTACGCGGGGCTAAAGGATGTGAGATTTCTCTTCGAGGCCGCAGCTTAGGGAATGTCGGGAAGGACGACCACGGTGATGTGTGTAGAAGAGTAACTGGTAAGCGCAGGATACACTGTGACGGTACTTCTCCGAGCGTACGTGGACGAGGACTTGACAGCGAGTGAGTGCAGACAACGAGCTAGGGATTTGATCCACGAGCGTAGAGCTGATGTACTGGCGCAAGTGACCTTCCAGACCTCGATTTCCTATAATGTGATGATATGGTCTCATGGTTATATGCGCGCGGAGCACTACCACGATGAGACGGTAGCGGAGGCTAGAGCGAGGGTGAGAAGATGAGATGGAAAAAGATGTGGACTGAGTATGGAGGAGGAGAGTGAGGCAGTCGGAAGAGTGAGAAAGCGCGTTAAAGAACCACTCTGAAGTTGGGGGACAAGTTAAGGGAGATCTGCTCGTGTCAGGACGAGGGCAAGTTGCGTAGGACTGAACTCGTGACGAGAGAATTAGAGAGTCTGTTTAGGGAGGAAAGAGAGATTATCCAGGCGTGGAGATCAGACTTTCTGGAGAGGGTAAAGGCTAGAAGCGTATCACGCGAAGGAGCTAGTGAGCGATCTGCAGAGAGAGAGACAACGCAAGACAAAGTAACGCCGGGAAGTAGCGACATGACATGAGTGGGACAGCACTACACACGACGGATCGGTACTCATTGCATATGGTAGGGAGATTGGACGGACCATTGGTGTTAGTGATCGTAGAGCTCCAGCTCCATACCAGACTGTGCATAGTTAAGGAGGCAGAGTGTGTCCGCCGTGCCCTGCGTGAGGCAAGGGGGACAGGACTTTGGATTGGAATAGAAGGAGGATGGAGGATAAAATACGTACTCCGAGTAACACCCTTTGAAGGGCGGTCGCGGATAAGGGCATGGTACGAGACGACCAGAGAGACTGAGAGGTTGAAGATAAGCGAAGCCAGGAAAGCAGGAGAGTTAGGGAGAGTTGTAACAGACGGTGCCATACTCAGGGTGCTAGTTGCTCACAATCGGTACTGGAAGGAGTCGATAAAGACTTTAGAGGCCATAGAAGATGGTGGAGATGAGGAGGACTTTGAGACATTTTATGATATATTGGAGCGGTCCGCGATGAGGTTATAAGTGGTTATAGCACTAACTTACCTCAGCTGCTAGACAGATGACCACGTAGGCGTCTGGGAGATAAGGGAGTGGAAATAGAAATTGGAAGCTCTTGGAAGGAAAAAGAAAGCTAGAAAGGTCGATGGGCGACATTGGACGGCAGTAGGAGGGCCTTTAGCGGGCTAACCGATTCAGGACAGGGCTAGGAGAACTAGCAAGGAGGACGGAGAGAGAAGCTCGGAGACTCTTGAGGGGTGTTGATCAGGAGACATTGGCTAGGTTTGGGACTGCGATCTGTCTCAAGGATAGAGGTCCTGTCACGGGCGTACTGCAGATCCGGACAGGCACGGCCTTGTTGGCCGATCCCGAAGGAGAGGTTACTTAGACACAGGGATTCTTGGGATAGAGGGAGAACACGAGATCTGCGACCGGTACGGGATACTGGAGGTGGTTATCAAGGCAGTCAAGAGCTAAGATTGGAGGCGGACGCGAGCCGTGACAAGGAAACGGGTCCGGGCTCCCGCAACTGTCACAGGTTCGGGCTGCAACGACTGTCATAGGGTCGGGATGTAACAGTTGACCAGAATACCTAACTGCATCTTCTGGCGGTCCAATGGAACCCGACACGATGGGGCCACAACCGACCACGGGCGAAGCGAGAGAGGAGTACAGGACATCGCCCGATCGAGCACTGAGGGATCTGAAGGAACGAATTAGGCAAGAAGCACCGCTTAGATGGGCTGACCAAACCAATGAGGGAGGACCCGACATAAGAGGCGAACCAGTTGCGACAGAGCCGCAGGAGGCTCTGAAGACGGGTACCTCGAGCGGACGACGAGAAGCCACGAGGCGACGCTCCCCCGAGTACGAGCGGAGGGACACCATAGCGGACAGGCACAGAGACGACTGGAGAGAGAATTTGAGGGATTCCTATTGGAGGGACAGAGATAGAGATAGGGCGCCGCCCAGGCGAGTCTTCGACCCCCAGACAGGGGAGTCACATCCGCTCCCTTACAAGAGCAAGGATCGCTATATTATTACGCACAAGGTCTCAGAGCCTCCTACCTTCAGGGGCTATGGTATCACAGAATATT